CTCAGATGCCTCAGTTCAGATGAATTCCTCCTTCTTCCACTCTCGAGGCTGAATTTTGCACACCTGCACTCTGCCTTGAACGATTTCTTTTCAGAATGGAAAATTCTAACTCCTCATAAAAAAGTTGTCTTCCCTCTTCTGAGTAAATCAAGAACCCGAAAAACAATTTCTACGTTTTTTCGATGAAAAACAGCAATGCTTTACGTAAGAAAAACCGACTTGCTTACTGCCGAAATAAGTACTGCTAGAATGGGCTGCTGCAGCAACAAAATTTCTAGGATTATCAGTTGAAGGTTCCTTACTTCGCTGAAAAAAAAAAGTTACAGATTGGGCATTCTTATAAAAAACCAACCCAGGCTGGAACGCAACAGGTTTGCCGGTGCAATCATGCGTTTTTGCACTAAACTCGCGGGTCGCTAGTAGCAGGAATAAACCCTGCGCTGCAGTCTATCACTTGGGCTCATATTGGCCGTGCTTTGATTTCTCCTGACATGCAGCAGAATGGGCATCGGTTGGGATGATGGTGCTATATTATAGAACCGCATGGACCTTCAGGTACATCATTACCAGTTTTTTGCATGAAGCTCAGTCGCTTTTTCGGTACATGCTCGCTTTTTGAAAAAATGAAAAATGTAAATTTTTTGAAAAAATGCAAATTCCCAGTTCACTAAAAAGTGGAAGTACTGCTCGAGCGGTCGTTTGTCAGAAAATCTAAGTATGCAAATGAATTGAATGTTCATTTACATAATTGGATGAGGGTGGTCGTTCGCTACAAAACGCACCCATTTCTGATTTTTTGGTAAAGTTGAGTATTTCTCATGCCCATCTGCACGGAATTTCACCTCCAGGCAGAATCAAGACCGCACTTGAAAGTAGAACATTCCAGTCAAATTTCAGCCCCGCAGCGTATTTGTTAAGCGAAATATCCACTTCGCTACAAATCTCTTTGAAGTGCCATAAGCTATGGCGCAAGTGCAAATCGATACTCATTTTAGGTGCACGATTTCCCATATGGGCGACAAATATGATGACAAAATTTCAGCCACTGTTTTCCGGCAAGTTTTCGAGTTAGCACAGTACCAAGCTGCAAACTTTGACGTGATCGTGCGCGCTGCACAAGCGTGCGCGACAGATGAATTTGAAATCTTTATCTCACACATGCACAGAGAATACTCCTGCAAAGTTTCAGCTTCGTACCTTGCTTGGTTCGCAAAATCGTTTCCCGCCAAAGGAATCTGCATATTTTTTGGGGATCCGTACGCGAGGTCTAGGCGCGCATGGGGGAAGATCTTGAAAGGGGATGGTGACACACAGGATAGAAACATATACCCTAAGTTTCAGCCTCCCCAGCTTTTCTGGTTGCTGAGATGAAAGTGGATGACAAAACGCAGTCGCTTCCAAACATACAAACATACAAACACACACACACAGCCTCTCGACAATATGCGTTTCTGCTGGATGTAGCAACAGCGCTATAGCGCTGCACAACAAAAACGCATAAAAACTTTAAAAAAGTAAATGGACTGGGTTAAGCCCTTAGAATTCCAGTACAAGCAGAGTGATATCTAAAGATGAATCAAACTGACAATACATTTCTTTCATTATTAATATGTTCTATCATCAATAATACTAAAAGTGCCTGAAAAATCGCTATGGTTATTACCCCATGTTAGTGACGTTACTGGAATGATCCCAAACATCGGCACAGCTATGTCAAGTCTTCAGAAATTTCTTCGTAAGAAATTATTTTACATCACTAAGAAATACTACGACTAGTGATAATGGATCGATATCATATGTTGTAGAGCAGCCTACATTTCATCCTTTAGCTATAAACCAGCAATTTTAAATTAGAAAATGGCATGTTTTATCTGTATCCGCTAAATGGTGTAATTTTTCAAAAGCAAATACTACCAAAAATGTAGTACAAATTATTCATTATGACAGAAGCAGTTAATGTTCGTGTATGAGTTTCGAAATCGAAAAAAGAACCTGTCCTAAGCAAACAAAAAAAAAGAGCAACAAAGTTTAGCAATATACCTCACGATACCAAAGGCATCTCTTTTTTCGCTTGCAGTGCTTGCACCACTGATCCTGATTTACAACACCAAACCGAGCACGACACTTCTTCTGCTCACCATTATCTGCAACTGTGATTCGATCGGCTTGAGTGGCCTTCGCCTTGTTGTTTCTTTCACAAACAACCGAAAATGATGATGCATCCATGATAAAACAGGCAGAAACGTAGGATTTCCCCCTTTCAAGAAAAGCTTCTTCCGCTCTTTAAGGGCAGAATTCTCTCTGGGGGATCTCATTACGCCGCACTGGCTATTGTCAAATCGCAAAAAGGACCACTTTCCCAAAACATTCCCTGAGGGTGGAAGGAGTTGCACTACTAAGGTATACTATCTGGAACAAGGGGAGTTTTGATTTGAACAGGGAGAGTTTTGATTTAACTTAATTTTAAATTTCGCAATTTTTGCTGCTGTAGGGCACTGTGTAGTAGCCTGTGGCGCCAATCTTATGCTAAGGATCAAGAATTCGATTTCGGCAGTGGACAACCGGTCCATTTACGATTCGTTCATTCGTTTCAATGCTAAACTGGTATTGGCAGAGGCTGAAGAAACAAAATCGCCAACTGTTGGCTCAGAAGCGGAAGAGTTACAGCAAACCCAACTTCACCGAGATCAAATCATAGAAAATCTACTGAGCAAGCACATTTCACTAGCTTTATACTGCACTGGGCAATGGCCTATAAAATTTAAATTTTGCATCACAGAGAATCAGAACTCCTTTGATTTTCGACCAAACTTAAGAACTATCTTCAGCATTTACTCTCTTCGAGAGATGAAAGCGTTCTGAGCAACTGCCAGAAGCTAGCAAGGCTGGAAAAGCATAAAATTGAACACCCTGCGAAAAATAAATTTCAGTTTGAGTTACTTGATCCCCCCAATTACCCCATCGCAACAAATAAATTCATTCGTACCAACAGATTTATCGCGTTTCCGTTTTTTCTTTTTGTTAATGGCATAATTTTCACGAGCTGACCAGCCCGGATATTTTTGCATATGCTGTTCA